GGAGGAGGAGGAGGAGAAACTAAATAGACTACCAACCAGTGAGAGAGATCTTCATTTTACTTTTAAGGATACTGAGATTCAGATAGAATGATGCGCTTGCCTGTGGCCAACCTTTAGCAGAGTTCAACAGTTGAGTCTTGCTCTACTGGGATGCCGGAGACACCTTCTGTTCTAGAACAGGGGGCAGGATTTGATTTGCCCATGGAGGCAGTTTCAGGACCTTGGGGTTTGGAGAGGGTGTGTAAAGAAATGACACTTTTCTTCAGGAATATATTCTTCAGGAGAATAATTTGGGTAGAATGAAATATCTTGCCAGCCCCTTCAGGCCCACAAGTCTTGGGTACTTGCGGGATGCAGATGCTTGGATAAGCTGTGGGGCTTCCAGGTGTGGCCTGGGTTATGTCTTAGATGTTTATTTTGTTCTGGATCAGCTAGAGATGTTAGAGGACATTTGCTGGTGTCCTTGGAGGTGGCCAGTAAATCCAGGGGCTGCACTGTCCTCTTGGCTATGCAGTGTGACCAGGGGATGGTGACAGGGTATCATTTGGGCTCATCTCCTTTCTCCAAGTTCACAGGGAAACCGCCATGACCAGATTCCTGGCCCTTTGGCACACAGAGATGAGAAGTTAGAAACTGTGTGTGTATGTTCACGTGTGTGTGTGTACATGCATGTGTGTCTGTTTTGCATATGTTGTATGTGTGTTTATGTACATATATAAAGTTACATATGCATTTATGCACAAATGTAAAGTTATATATGCATATGTATGTGTGTGTGTGTGTGTGTGTGTGTGTGTGTGTGTGTGAAAGCCAGGGTCTCATGGGAAGATTCCTATCTCCACATATTGACCAGAGCCAGAGGGAATTCTGACAGGAATTGTCTGCAGGCAACACAGAATCACAGGCCCTGGGTTCCAATCCCAGTATAGGATCAGAAGTTCAAGGCATTGGTTTTCCTTCTTTCTCTTTTCTTTTCTTCTTTTCTCTCTTTCTTTCTTTCTCTCCTTCTTTCTTTCTTCCTCCCTTTCTTTCTTTCTTTCTTTCTTTCTTCCTTCCTTTCTTTCTTCCTCCCTTTCTTTCTTTCTTTCTTTCTTTCTTTCTTTCTTCCTTCCTTCCTTCCTTCCTTCCTTTCTTCCTTCCTTCCTTTCTTCCTTCCTTCCTTTCTTTCTTTCTCTCTTCCTCCCTTTCTTCCTTCCTTCCTTCCTTCCTTTCTTTCTTTCTTTCTTTCTTTCTTTCTTTCTTTCTTTCTCCTTTCCTTTCATTCATTCATTCTTTCTTTTGTGTGTGTGCTAGAGAGAGGGGGAGAGAGAAAGGGGGAAGAAAGGGGGACACAGGGTCTTACTGTGTAGCTTGGGTGTCCTGGAACTCACTCTGTAGACCAGCTGGCCTTGAACTCAGAAATCTGTGACCCTGTCTCTGATGCTGGGGTTAAAGTCCTATGACTCCCTGCAAGGCATCCTTATCTATACAGAGTTTGTGACCAGCTTGGGGATACATGAGACCTTGTCTCAAAAAGAAAGTATAGGGACCTCACTGGCTGCCTCTGTCCCAGCTGTCCCACAGTCCTTGGGTGCTCTGGGAGCCAGTGGGAGCCGTATGCCTCCAAGTTAATGGGGTAAAAGAAGAAAAAGTGGCCAGCATTTCCATACGGCAGTTCCTGTGGTTCTCAGCTAAGAACCGTTTGTGAGTGACATTAATCCCCTGACTTATTCCATGTCTGGTCAGAGTGTGCTTTGCTTAAGGGAGATCTCCAGCAGGAGAGCAGGTGCCTGCAGCTGTAAGCCGCCACCAGCTCGCCCCAGAGCCCCAGGGCCCTCTTCTCAGTCTCTCCTCAGGCTCCTCCTCTCCTTGGCTGCCGTTTAGCTCTTTCCCAGTCTCTGTACATAGCAGACCTTCTTGTGGGCCTGTCACCTTCCCTGTCTGAGGTCTCCACTGACTGACAGTCATGATCTCTGGCCATCTTCATACTCCTACTCCGTGAAGAGTGAAAGACGCTGAGCCCCCCAGCCCCACCCTAACCTCCAGCCCCATGCCCAATGCCTCTCCTCTCACAGGAGCGCCTAGTTGTGCTTGGCTCCTTAGAACCCTACAGAAGTGACATAACTTCTTTCTTGAGGACCCTGCTGTTCATGATGTTTAGATCCCTTTGGGGACCAGATGAGTGGCTGGGGCAGCCACAACAAACCACCACAGCCCAGATAGCTCTGAGAAGTTGTGAGGTACAAGTATGTCACCATGGCCTCTCTCCTCCTCAGCATCTTCCCTGTGCTCTGTGCAGGGTCAGAGGGATGGCTGTCACACAATAGGGTCACATGGTTGGCTGTCACACAGTAGGCTCACAGGGTTGGTTGTCACACAGCAGGATGAAAGAGATGGCTGTCACACAGCAAGGTAGGTGGCTGTCACAAGTAGGGTCAGAGGATGGCTGTCACACAGTAGGGTCACAGGGATGGCTGTCACACATCAGTGTGAGGTAGCTGTTACATGGCAAAATTACTACATGCATCTCCGCAGATGTTCCTAAAGGCTTGGGGCCTTGAGTAAGCTGTATTTCCGCTTCCCAGCCTCCCATACAAAACACTTTTCCATGTTAAAACCAAAACACCTGATTGTCCGCTCTGGTTAGAAAACTCAAACCTATTCTTTGCTAGAACTTTAGAAGATGAGAAGCCAGTCAGATAAGAGTGCATGCACATGGAGCCCCATCTGTTGGCCAGAGTTCCTCAGGAAAGGTCTAGCCTTTGCAACTGACTGTATGTTAGGCACTGTGATGATCCTTCTTCTACACATGAGAAAACTGAGCCATGAGCTGTGTGGTAGAAGACTGTGTGTCTGTGTATCTCTGTGTGTGTGTGTCTGTGTATGTGTGTGTATATGTGTGTCTCTGTGTGTGTTTATGTGTGTGTGTGTCTCTGTGTATGTGTCTCTGTGTGTGTCTCTGTGTGTGTATATGTGTCTATGTGTGTCTCTGTGTATGTGTGTGCGTTTATGTGTGTGTCTGTATGTGTGTGTGTCTCTGTATGTCTATGTGTCTCTCTGTGTGTCTCTCTGTGTGTGTCTGTGTCCGTCTGTGTCTGTGTGTGTATATGTGTGTGTTTATGTTTGTGTGTGTCTCTGTGAATGTGTCTCTGTGTGTGTGTCTGTGTGTGTGTATATGTGCGCCTGTGTGTGTGCGCATGTGTGTGTGTGCCTCTGTGTGTGTGTAATAGCTGCCATGCCTTTGCTCTGCTCTCTGCTCTCCACTGGCCACCTGCATCTCCTGGAGTTTTCCTTCCCTCCCAGGCTTCCCTTCATCTGCCTACTTGAGGTCTGCAGGGGGAGGAGTAACTGTTTATGAGTGCCTAGTGGCTTTGGGGGACTGCTCAGCTGCCCAGCATTTGCACCCATGCATAGAAGGTGGGCTCATGGGCCCAATTTTCAGGAGCTGTGTCACCAAGCCGAGGGCTTTCTTACATGAGCAACACAGGAAATTAACAGTCCGAGGAAAATGGGTAATTGGGAAGAAAATATAAACGGCACTGGAGTAGGGAGCGGCTTCTCCATGAACACACACATCCCAACAGATGGCAAATGTCAGCACCGATCTGACACTTGGTCGGATGCACTAAAATTAGCGTTCTGTTTAAACAACTAAGTCCTTCTGCCCATTAAAGGTTTTGGGGATTAAAACATAATTGGAGCATTTTGGATACTAAAAAAGTAGTCAGGTCTTACCACTCTGCAGGTACTGGTGGTCTCCAGGGGCTTTTTTCTCCCATGAAAGCGGTGACTGTTAAGTCAGGGCTCTTAATAAGAGGGGAGGGGCTGCTCCAGAGACTGTGCAAAGTTGTAGGTGACATTCCTTCATATGTGTGTGTGTGTGCTCATTCGTGTGCATGTTTGTATGGTGAAAGCCCACCCACTTCATTAAGTTCCCTCCTTCACCCTGGAAGTCTCTGTGTGTGTCAGGGGTAGGGCAGGATCTTCCAAGCTCCAGGATTCATGTCAGCTTGTGCTTACAGTGCTCGTGAAGGGCCAGGTCACCACCAAATACTACCGGCTGCTGTCCAAGCTGGGCGGCTGGGTCTGGGTGCAGAGCTACGCCACCGTGGTGCACAACAGCCGTTCCTCCCGGCCTCACTGCATCGTGAGTGTCAATTATGTCCTCACGTAAGTCAGCCACATTTGTTTCTCCTTGCTCTCTCCCCTGTCCCTGTCACACTGCTCCAAGAAGTGTCCCCTCCCATTCCTCATTCTCTGGACTGTTCGCCTCCCTTTTGTTTACTGGAATAATCTGGTAGATTGGGAGCTACCAACCATTAACATGTGTCAGGAAGTGGTGGCAAGGATGGTGAGGGAGCCTCACAGGATTATAGTTTATTAGATCCTGGGACTGAGCCTGAGAGAGGGACCCATGCTGAGAAGGGACAGCGTGCAAACAGGGTGGATCCATGTCCTGTGTCAATCACACACTTCTGTCCTTCTGCCCTTAGGGACAGACAGTCTCTCCCACCTCTCTGTCTTCTCACATATTCTGTTACCAGTGTGGTTGAATATTTGGTGCCTGAAAAACCCCAGATTTTGACTGAAAAAAAAATTGTTTTGAGACAGAGTCTTATCATTAGTTGAGGTTAGCTTCTATCTCATGACCTTCCTCCATCAGCCTCCCAAGTACTGGGATGTCAGGATAGGCCAGCAAAGGAATGAAGATGTGTGTGAGTCCACAGAAGTCACAGGCAATCCCTTCCTGGACCATGGCTCAGTGTATCCACTGAAGCTACTGTCAAGCAGTCACCGTACGATTGCCTCTAGCCTCAGCCAAAGAAGGGCCCTCCTTTGCGTCCTGAACATTGAGGATTCAGACCCCAGGTTCTTTCACAGAGTGATCACCAGGCTACTCCGTGTTTTAGGAGGATGATCTGGCAAAACTACATGGGAGAAAATGTCCCTGTCCCTTAATTACACTAGCCAGGCCTGGCAGCATTTAGCAGTAACTCTCCCTTTGGGAATATGACTTTGCCAAATTGTGTCTGTAGACCCAACATGAGTCCGTATGAAAGTGGGCGAAGTTAGGAGCTGGCTTCCCACAGGTCCATTCCACCAGACTTCTGGGTCCCTCAACAGAGAGCAGCTGGGCCTCAGACACACAAACCAATAGGGGTCACTGGGGTCGCTGCCTTTGCCTTGTTAGCATGTCCATCCCTTGCCATGGTCAGGAGTGTCCTTGGGATATGTATGTGGGCTGCATGGGTTTGGAGAAAGCACATTATGTTCCTCCATTCTTGCCAAACAGTACTAACCATGCTCAGAACTCTTGGTTACCACATTGGAGCTGCTGGTGGCCTCTGTCAGGACCATGTGTCCTTCCATAAGAGTTGCTCTGGGACTGGAGGAGAAGCTTGCTCAGTGGGTGCAGCTCAGGCAGCTGCTCCTCCTCCACGCATGAACTGCTGGGCTTGACTTGCCCACTCTTGCTCTCCAGGGATGTCGAATACAAGGAACTTCAGCTGTCTCTGGACCAGGTATCCACCTCTAAGTCTCAAGAGTCCTGGAGAACCACCTTGTCTACCTCACAAGAAACTAGGAAATCAGCTAAACCCAAAAACACAAAGATGAAGACAAAGCTGAGAACCAACCCATATCCTCCACAGGTAACACACACACACGGGGAAAAACAGCATCTATCTGGGGGCTCAAGACACCTGGGCGTGAACTAGGAACCTCTCTTCAGGGGTGTCCTTGCAGAGAGAGAAAAGGTCCCACAAGCAGCTCAGAGGATAAGTATATGCTACGTCATTTGGCTTATGGTAATATCAAAATGAAACTTTCCCTCTCAAAGTGTCACTAGTAAGCTGTGGGAAGTGGGAAGTGGCAAGTGCCCACAACCATCTGGTGTGCAGTCATCTTGGAGAATAAAGTCTTTCCACTCACAGACCTCGAAATAACACAGGGGTCAGGGCCCCCTGAGCTCTGGTCTGGTGGACTAGAAGGTAGCTTACCCTTGGCCTCTCCTCTGTCTTCTTTGCCCTGCAGCAATACAGTTCGTTCCAAATGGACAAGCTGGAGTGCAGCCAGGCGGGAAACTGGAGAACGAGTCCCCCCACAAATGCTGTGGCTCCCCCTGAACAGCAGCTCCATTCAGAAGCTAGCGACCTTTTATATGGGCCGCCCTACAGCCTCCCCTTCTCCTACCGTTATGGACACTTCCCATTGGACTCTCACGTCTTCAGCAGCAAGAAGCCAGGATTGCCCGCCAAGTTCGGGCAGCCCCAAGGATCCCCGTGTGAGGTGGCACGCTTTTTCCTGAGCACGCTGCCAGCCAGCAGCGAATGCCAATGGCACTATGCCAACTCTCTCGTGCCCAGCAGCCCACCGCCAGCTAAAAACCTTTCTGAGCCTCCTGTGAATGCTGCCCGGCATGGACTTGTGCCAAACTATGAAGGTGGGTCCCGTTTGCACGAGGGGAAGTGCGGGCTCAGCATCAGTAGTAGTGGGTGGTAGATGGAAGAAGAATCCTCATACTTGGGGCAAACTGACCTTTTCTGCTTCTGAGTAGGGATTACCATGCTTCTGATTGCCAATCATGGCTTCATGGGAGCGAGCTACATGTGACAAGGACACCGGAGGTGGCATAAACAGCAGAGGGAAGCTGAGTGTCCAGTCCCCATACAAATTCTGGCCTTATTCCTGACTCTGCAGGGAGGCAAAAGTGATTTTCCAAACCAGCTCCCATGTTTGATCACACTCCAGCTACATCCTTGAGATGCCCTTTCGCCGTACCTCAGAGCGAATGACAGACTTTAGTTCTCTTCCTAGAGCGGTTTTCAAAATACAGAAAACAAATGTAGAAATGCCTAGCCTTGGGGACAGAAGCCATGAACATAGAGCAATTAACACGGGCTCTTCAAGCCTCTGCCTTTCTCTCTGTGAAATGGGACCACAGCCTGTGTAGGGAGCCTAATGGGCACACTCTAGGTGCCTGCTAGTTCTTCAGGGACTGCTAATATGGGAGTAAGTGTCACACTTGGATGCCATATGCCTCAGGAAAAGGTATCACTAGCATTTATTAAGTAGCTCCCTGAAATGTGTGGTCCCTACAACACACCCATGTAACACAACCACGTCTCTTTCCTCTCCTCTCTTTCCCACACTCTGCCTCTGGCTTTGCTTTCTGTGCAAACTCTGAGAATACGACTCCATATTGTGATCAGTCTCCATTTTTTTTGGGCCAAATCTGAGCAGAGGAACAATTATGGGAGAACTCAGGCCTTTGTGGACATAAGGAGAACATTGTTTTCAGAAGCAGATGATTTAGAAGAGACCAACCAGCCACTGGGCCCGCCCTGCCTTGGCATCAGCCTGTCCCAGAAGCCATGATCCCACCCTTGGGATGGCTGGATCCCCAACCCTTATCTGTGCAAGAGTCCTTCGAGGTCCAGGAAAGAACAGGGGAAGAACCTTGCAAACACCAATGTGAGCCAGACTCATTTCTTTGTATCTGAGGACTGACTGGTGACATAACACACAGAATCCGACTTTTATTATTATTTTAAAGCAAAAAAACGGTTGGCAGCCAGGCGCCTGCCTGCTTGTCACATTTGAGTAGGAGGGGCAGGGGGAAGGACTAAAGGTGTTAATTTGAGGCAATTTGTGACCAACTTACTAGTCTTTGGTATTAAAAGGAAACAATGGCCTCATGGGAAGGCTCGGGAGTTACTTGAATGGGCATGGTTAATACTTTTAATTATGGGCCTACTAAACAGCACAGGGCGGTTACCACTCCCCACCATCTTGAGGGATTAGTAAAATGGGTAGTGCAGTGAAGAAGAGTCTGCTTGGCTTCTAGTCGGCTGCTGTCCACCAGCTCCGTGTGCCTTTAAAGCATCTTTTAATATTGATGGCACACTGGAGTATTTGGATCTGTTGCATTAAGCGTGTTACTCAGAATGAATCCCACCTGTTCCTCTGAAGTTTCCAGCAATGTCTCATGATTGCACTGCGCTGGCCTGGAGTACACAGGGGTGGCACGGACGTAGGAGGACTAAGTAGCTCTGTGCACGATGGAGGGCGCATGGGGCAGTGTATGATGGAGGATCTGTGCGTGATGGAGAAGGACCACGTGGCTCTGCACGTGAGAGGGCGCGTGTGGCTCAGTGGAGGAACAAGGAGGACCTGTGGCTTTCTCTGCATTTCTGTGCAAGGCCACCAGCGCCTGTGGTTGGGCAGGGCTGAGGGTGCGAGTGGCTCAGTGGAGGAACAAGGAGGACCTGTGGCTTTCTCTGAACGATCGGGCGCAGGGCGCGTGCATCTCTGTGCAAGGCCACCAGCGCCTGTGGTTGGGCAGGGCTGAGGGTGCGAGTGGCTCAGTGCAGAGCAGAGGACAGACGCGTTTCTGAGTGTGCGTCTTCCTCCCCAGTACAATCCTCTTACTTGTCGCTTGTCCCCACAGCGCCCGCTGCCACCGCGCGCAGGTTCGGCGAGGACCCCGCGCCCCCAAGTTTCCCGAGCTGTGGCCACTACCGCGAGGAGCCCGCACTGGGTCCCGCCAAGGCGGCTCGCCAGGCGTCCCGGGACGCAGCCCGGCTGGCGCTGACCCGAGCGCCCCCCGAGTGCTGCGCGCCGCCCACCCCGGAGCCGCAGGCGCCGACACAGCTGCCCTTCGTGCTGCTCAACTACCACCGCGTGCTGGCGCGCCGCGGGCCGCTGGGGAGCGCTGCGCCCGGAGCCCCGGAGGCGGCCGGCTCGCTGCGGCCCCGACACCCCGGCCCCATCGCTGCCACTGCGCCCGGCGCACCCCGGCCGCACTACCTGGGCGCCTCGGTCATCATCACCAATGGCAGGTGACCCGCCAGGGCCCGTCCGGCTCCGCAGGGCGGCCCCACAGGGAGAAGCCATAGGCCAGGCCTTCTCTGGTTCCTTTTTCACCCCCAAGGTCCAGCAGATGGAGGGGCGAACTGTATATGCACGATATAAATTAATTTATACAGAGACAACTATTTTAATAGAACTCCGCAGACGACTTTTAGATTTTTACCGTAGATGCCTGTGTAGAGGGTTGGACCGCAGTTGGAGGATGGGAGGAAGGCCCATCCTTGTCGCCAAGGGCTGTTTTCATGGGGCTGAGCACCCAGATGTCAACCTATAATCTCAAACTACCATTTCCAGGGATCTTGGTTTCCTCACTAAGAAGCCTATCAAGCCAAGGCCCAATAAGTGGGAATTCAAGACATGCATGCAGCTTGACAGATGGATGCCACTTTAAGCACCCCCACCCCCACCCCGGTGGTCCTCTGTTCCCAAGGGGTTGAGACAGGGTGGAAAGTCCCTTCAGAGTCCTTTTGGACACTTGTAAACGCAAAATGTCATCCTTGTAAGTCCCACGAGCAGACAACAGTTTCTGCTGTCTTTGAACTCGTGCATCTCATTTTCAAATTTAATCCTTTTAAAAATACAAAAGCCAACAAGCCGAGGCTAAGGAGGTGGCCGTGCAAGCCCATTGTGTGCGTGGACATGGGTGTGCTTCAGAAGCACATTAACAAGCTCGCTCATAACCCAGCCCTTAGGAACTCTGGTTGACACCTACAAGTTGCACCTTCAAAATATGAAGTAGGCATTAAATGCAAAAAAGATATATATATAGCCAGGCACGGTAGAGAATGGCCCTGCCAAGCATAATTCCCTGGCAACATCCCTCCAGCCCACACAGATCTGCTAGTCCTATGCTTGTGTTTGCTTGCAAGTAGGAGCTCCTAAAGCTAGTTAAACTGCATGTGCAATATGGAAACCGGAATGGACTGCACCTTGTGGAAGAAAAACATGCTTAGGGGATGTAATGAAATGTTGTATACATTTAAGCGTTTTCTACATAGTAAGAGCTTCATATGAACATGTTGTGTGTAACAGGTGAATGGAGAACCTTTTTATAAACTTACCAGCAGTGTTTAAAAATAAACTTCCATTACTTTTGTTTCACATTTATGGTTTATTTATGGTTGTATGCATTTTTCTTTTGGGGTCACTATTTAGGGCTTGGGGTATGACTCAGTAGCCCCGTGCTTGTCTGGCAGGCAGGAGATACTGGTTTGAACCCAAGTACGGAAAGAAAAAGAGAAAATCACTATTCAAAAATGTTCTCATGGCCCTGACCTGGACATCTGCCTTCACCAATAAATATCTGCACCAACTGCCACCTTTCAACTTCTCTACACAGGAAATAGCTCATCCATCTACTTTTTAAAAATGTAGTTTATGGGGCTGGAGAGATGGTTCAGCGGTTAAGAGCACTGACTGCTCTTCCAGAGGTCCTGAGTTCAATTCCCAGCAACTAAATGGTGGCTCACAACCATCTGTAATGGGATCTGATGCCCTCTTCTGATGTGTGTGAAGACAGCTGCAGTGTACTCATATAAATGAAGTAAATAAATATTTTAAAATGTAGTTTACATGGGCCTGGCAGTGGTGGTGTATGCCTTTAATCCCAGCACTTGGGGGGAGGCAGGGCAGAAGCAGGAGGATCTCTGTGAGTTCCAGGACAGCCAGGGCCACACAGAGAAAGCCTGTATCAAAAAACCAACCACCACAACAACAAAAAAAATCCTTTACTTTAGAAAACTCTTCCCACCTGTACAGAAAGGTTCCACATTAAAACAAAACAAAAATAAAAAAAAACCCCACAACTCATCTGTCTAGAATCAGTGGCTCGAAGAACTCTCAAAGAGTAAACTCCAGCTGGCTGGCAAGGTTAGGACCAGCAATATATGTGGAAGACACTGGGTCTAGGGATAGCTGCTCACAGCCCTCACCTGTATCCAGCACAAGATGCTCTCAGTGTCTACACATGACAAGCCAAGCTTTTTTTCCCCCTTGCCTTCTCCCTCTTGCTCTGGCCCAAAGGTTTTTTATTTATTTATTTATGTGAGTACACTGCAGCTGTCTTCAGACACCCCATAAGAGGGCATCAGATCTCTTTTCGGATGGTTGTGAGCCACCATGTGGTTGCTGGGATTTGAACTCATGACCTCCGGGAGAGGAGTCAGTGCTCTTAACCTCTGAGTCATCTGTCCACCACCCACAAGCCAAGCTTTTATGCTCTTGAGTCTCACGATTAATCCATGGTTCTTGGAAGATCTCTGTTTGATCCATGGGCATTAGCACCAACATTTTTCAATAAAATTCCACTTAACTGCTTTTGTGTCAACTTGTATCCCCTAGACACAACCCATGAAGGAGGTTAATAGGGAAGGTTGTTAGTGGGGTGCGGGGGAAATGACACTGTTGTAGATTTATAAATGATAATGCAAACAACATAAGGGAGTCTGTGTGTTCCTAAAAATTAAAATGTGTACATTTGCTTATTTGGACAAAAATCACCAGTTTTCATAGCTGACAATAGGAAGGAAGATTTCTCAGAGAGCTAAGCTGGCTTCCAGAGGTTATGGACTCAAAGTTGCCAAGCAGTTACCATGGCAACCTAATACTGTTCTCCTCATCCTCAAGATTTTGCCCTGGTATCTTTTCTCAATTCTGTGAAGCTTTAATAATGATGCGCTCTCTTTCAAAAAACAACAACAAAAATATCACTGTGGGCCCTACCTAAGATGGAGCATGGTGACACAAATGCCAGAGCAAATGGACTTGAAGCCTAAGCCAATTCAAGCCTTTGGCCCTGTGCAGGGCCTCCCAGGGAAAGGAATTCTTTTATGTTCTTGGAAGCCCCTTTCTAAAAAAGCCATTCCACTCATACCTCAGCAGAGACAGGAAGGGGTGGAAGGCCCGGATCCCCCCCCCCCACTCCCTTCATCCTTTCAGAAGCTCAGGCCTTCTTCCCTTAAACCATAAAGGTATGTGTTGTGTGTGTATGCATGTATGGCGTGTGTGTGTATTTGTGTGAGTATGTGTGTGTATGGTGTGTGTGTGCATGTGTATTTGTGTGTGTGTTGTGTGTATTTGTGTATGTGTGTGTGTGGTATGGGTATGTATTTCTGTGTATGTGTGTGTATGGTGTATGTGTATATGTGTGGTGTGTATTTGTGTGTATATGGTGTATTTGTGTGTGTGTATGTGTGTGTAGTGTGTGTACATGCATGTGTAGTGTGTGTATTTGTGTGTATATGTTTATGTATGGTGTGTATTTGTGTGTATCTGTGTATCTGTGCGCATGGGTGTGTAGTGTATTTCTGTGTGTGTGTATGGTGTATGTGTGTGTGTGTGCATGTGTGTGTGTGGTGTGTGTGTGCATGCATGTATAGTGTGTGTATTTGTGTGTATATGTTTGTGTATGGTGTGTGTGTATTTGTATGTATGTGTGGTATGTATTTGTGTGTGTGTGTATGTGTGTACAGTCTACACATGTAAAATCTACCCATGTTTTCATCTATTAGAACTGCAGTTCTGGCAACCTATGGGTTATCTACAACACATGATGCAAGCTGATCCCAAAGTCAGGCAAGATATATAATGTTAAAAGTCTCAGGACAAAAATACCTTTAATGAAAGTTGAGCAGTTCAAACATCCAGAAAGAAAAGAGTCAGTTAAAAGATTTGTTAGCACTTGGAGCCTTTGTGAACTTTTTTTCCCTACTAGTAAGATTTCCTTTCTGTCAAAAATACATAAAAACTCACAAAGTACCAGGTTCCTGAATTGTTACGCGTGATCTTTGTTATAAAAGCATGTTCAAATATCAAATAAAAACAGTGTAATCAGAAGCCACTGACCATTCTTAATGAACCCTGGGGTAAAGCAAGAATAAGCTGGAGCCACAGTGAAAACCCTAAGTTTATTTTGGTAGAATTTTTATAGGCATTGGTTTATACTAATTCTTTTCACAGATGATTCTTTGAAAAGTAAAAATATAAAAAAGTAGCAAAGGGTTACATTTTTGTTTATTTCAAAGATGCATAGAGATGAACCAGGAACGAGGAGGCCCCACTTCTGGTATGTCAGGGTAGCAAAGCCCCTAAGATCCCCTCTTGCATTCTGGAAGAGCCAGGTGAGAGAGGCCAGGTACTCACACTGTGTGCTAGGTGTAGGAGGGATCCTCAGAGTATGTAGTCCCTTGGTGGGTGTGTATTTGTCCAAGCCTCCATCATGACACTGCTTCCACGCTGGGTCCCATCATTCCTCGTGCTGATATCCACAGGATACAGGCCCCTGCTCCAAGCCCTCCCTGTAAGAACTCCCTCATTGCTCTAGCTGAGCCACATGAAACCCAGTTTTTGCTACGTGTGCCTTCCAAACACCCAGGGGTAGGTATGTAAACAGGTTTATACTACGAACAACCTGCTCTACGGCAAATGCAGATTAAGGGTTAGGTGGCCACATCTCAAGATTAGGAGCGAGCGAAGATAGGAGACTTGAAAAGTTCCTGGAGATCCGGGATGCTGTGTCTGTAAATACCCTTGCATGTAGCAGGTACAGTGGCAGCCTTCACACCCCCATCAGCAGACTGCGCTCTGCGATGTGGAATCTGAAGTCTTTGGTTCAAGAGATACAATAGGAAATGCAGCATCTGCTTCAGGCTATTTTGTCTCTCAAGATAAGGAGTGTCATGTCTGCATAATCGAGAACACCCTAAACAGTGTGACTACTCCAAGGCCAATCAGCATGCCCAGAACGTCTCTGTCTGCTCTGACAAGACCACACTTCATTAGTTTTAACTTACAGAAAGGAAATTAAATGATAACATTTTTTTCCCAACGTAGAACTATCCAGAATAGCCCTTCAGCTTAAAATAAAACATAGCATGTTTTTCATTAAGTAATCCCCCATAGACATTTAAGATGTAAGGCTGGCAGTCCTGAGAGACGGACAGCCTTACATCACAAAGTCTGAGACGTGAAGCTCT